TAATAGATAGATAGATAGTGAGAGGGACATTCATAGAAAAACCTTCACACAGGGCGCATTTTTAAAGCTTGGTTTTGTTGCTAATACTTAAATAAGATAGTTCAAACCTGTGTAACGGTGAATTATTTTTTTTGAATTGTTTTTTCTTCCTGTTTATAATCAGAATGCCTCTGGTTAATATAAAATAACTTATTGGTATTTTTATTTCTGTTTGCCTCAAGAAAGGAACTTCCGTTATCTTTAAAAAAAGCTTGTTAAGGCTAATTTTATTTGTTTGTCGTAAACCTACGTAAGAATATTATTGTTGATTAGGCTTTGTTTAATGTTGCTTAGTTTTTTATATAATGATGTGTCCGAATAAGAGATTACTTTGACCCGATAAATCATTTTTTTATCACAGCGTTTTGTTTATCTGTGAGGAAATTCACTTTCGTCGTTAATTAAACACATTAAACTAGTTTCTACTAGCGGATATTTCTTAAAGATATATGGCAAAATTATGGGAACTAGCATCGACTAATACGTCAAGGAAGGATGTTATAGTTAATGCTGAGTTTGTTAGTAAAGAGTAAGACTGAATTATTCAGAAAGTATTCTTTCAGTTTTTTTTTATTTCTTTCAGTCTGTTTGCTAATAGGAGTATGCCGTCGACATAGAGTGCGTATTTGTAGGGGCTGACATGGTGGAATCAAAACTTCAACAGTATAGGAAAAAATATATATATATAACTTGACTCTTCCGTCGAATCCGACGTACGACGGTTAAGCAGATCAATTACTAGGAAACCGACAGCCCGGCAACAGCACATGAGAATTGATTATATTGGTGAAGGTTTCGTGCAGGACCATGCACACTTTTTGAATACAGAGACCCGGTGCACTACGTGCCACAAGGTCACCAAACGACCCTCCGCAGGTTTTGAATTCAGAGTTGTCCTTCTCCTAAACCAGTTGCCATCCAAGGCTATAGAACCCAGTCTGTCCTGCTATTTACCTATAGCTGGAGGAAGAAGAAGAGGATTCACACCTTTCCCAAGGATATTAGCACGTAAGTGAATGTAATGGATTCAATCCAAGCCGATATCCATTACTCCACCGTGCCTCCTATATATATATATATATATATATATATATATATATATGTATACATATATATATAGATTTATATATAGATATATATATATATATAAATACACACACACACACACATATATATATATTCTTATCCTAATTAGGAATACCTTTTTCATCGAATAATATAAATCGAATAAAAATATAAACAGGGCCAATGTAGTGATAATGAAAGGGTTTATGCCGGATATTGAACATCTCATAAAAAAAAATGTTTATATTTTTATTCGATTTTTCTCTCTGTAATAATGTAAATGCACTGATGATGGAAGGTCTATGCCGATGAAAAAGGTATTCCTAATTAGGATAAGAATGATCTTGAAAATTCAGGAAAATCCACATCCTCTACCAAGGGTCCAAGAAATAGGATTCAAGAGAAATCCTTCGAACACAGAAACTAAGATCTCAAATTGGTATGAAAGCAGTGACGGAATCAATCTGGAATTCATCATAAAAATTTAGGATGTGGAATTAGTAAATACCTCAAAATACTTCAGTGTGTTGATAAGTTATAACCAATTTAACATAAGAGAAACGGAAAAAAGAACATAGAATACGCTGCGTCCAACATTGCAAATTTGTGCAACAGAAAAACGTTAACTTGGAATTTTGAGTCATATTCCTAATCAGCATCGTCAGATTGTGATTTTGATATGGATGTCATACATGGCACTAAACCAGTTCAGAAATAACTAAACTGTCAGTTTTAACAAACGTTTTCTCAAACTAATGGATAAAAAAAAGGCTTTGAGCGAGTGAGGCCTGTTGATGTTGGCGAAGACCATCGTTCTTATAACTTTCTGGACTGGCGCTACAGAATCGCAAACAAAGAACTGTACCGGATGACAGAAACCACATTCCTTGAGGACTACCAACAGCAGCAAGAACTAAAATGGATAGCACATATAATTCGAAGAGAAAATCATGATATAATCAAGATATTAACATTCCCGACTATTTCAAATAAAAGGTTAGTTAGGAAACTCCCATCAATACCGGAAAATAAGATACCATCTTCTGGAAGAACTAGCTGCTCAGTCAATGAATGTCGTATTTTTTTTAAATATGGAAACAATTAATATTACTATTGACATTACCAAATTATAATATAATATATAGCTCATAGCGTATATATATATATATATATATATATATATATATATATGCATATAGTTATATATATATATATATATATATATATATATATATATGTATGTATGTATATGTATATATAAATAAAAAAGTAAGAACAGTAAGATATATAATCCGGTATTCTTATAGATATTTCTATTTTTACAAAATAGTGCTCAATTTAAATTTACAGAGCATTACTATTATAAATCAATTGATTTAAAATATAGTTTTTGTCG